GGCAGTGCCCTCGGGGAAAGCCCCAGGGCAGCAGGGCCGTGCTGAGCCCGTCCTGTGCCAGCTGCCAGGACCGGGGTGGGCTCACGGCCGTGCTGCCCGTGCACAGCCACGGCTCCTCGGCACCCACAGAACGCCCTGGCTGAGGGACAAAGGGCACGGCTGTCTGCAGCAGGACGCCTTGGCACAGTCACGGCCCTTGGAGGCCTCCATCGCTCCCAGCAGCGTCCTTCCCCAGCCGCTGCTGGGCACAGCTGGGGAACCTGCTGGAGTGCCCTAGGCTGTGGGGATGGTGGCACTGCTGCTGGCATGCCATGGCCAGCTGACACCGGGTGCCAGGACCATGAGGAGCCCCCTCAGCACCAACACCCATGACCTCCGGGTGCCCCAGCCGCTCTGGACGTGGCCAAGCAGAGTCCCCAGCTCAGCCCCATGGCTCCCTGCAGCTCCTGCTCCTCAGGAGAGACCCTCAGGCAAACCAGGCTTCCTGCTCTTCCAGCACGACCCAGCCAGGCCAAACCCAGCCCAAACCCCGTGATCTTCCTCCTGCAGGAGCCCCAGCTGAGGCCTGTGCCCAGCTAAGCCCAGCCAAGGCCACTCCAAACCTGACGGCTGAGGGCTTCCAGGAGAGATTGGGGCAGCAGGATGGGCCCAGCTCCATCCCTCTGTGCTGCACAAGTGTGCCCTGCTCAGGGGCAGCTCCGTGCTGCTCACCCGGCTGCTGTCCTGCCCGTCCTGCTGGCCCTGGCAGGGCGCAGCTGTCCGCACAGACCTGGCACTCCCGGAGCTCCTCAGCCCGTCTCAGTCCCTGAGACCTGGCACTGAGACCTGGCACTGAGACCTGGCACTCAGACCTGGCACACCCTGAGCTCCTCAGCCCGTCTCAGTCCCTGAGACCTGGCACTGAGACCTGGCACTCAGACCTGGCACTCCCAGAGCCCCTTTCAGCCCGTGTCCAGCCCTGGTGCAGGACAAACCCGCAGGACAAACCCACGGTGCCTCCCAGCCCTGCTCCCGGAGCAAATCCCAGCGCAGGGCACAGCCCTGGCTGGGTTCGGGCCCTGGCTGGGTTCGGGCCAGCCCTGGGTGGGTTCGGGCCGGCCCTGGGTGGGTTCGGGCCAGCCCTGCATGCCCGGCCCGGGCAGCTCCAGGCTCCGATGAGCCGAGCGCAGGGCGGCAGAGGCCGCTGCTCTCTCAGAGCAGGTGGCGGCGGCTGCTTCTGCTTCGTGTCGCTCGCAGCTCGCTAAAACGTGTCAGCACAGCCTTCAGCAGCTTTGCAGCTCAGCCCATCCCCTTGATAGAGCTAATTCTCTGGCTGGGCAGAGGCTTTTCACAGCTAAACACCTTCTTTGTTTCGCTTAATTTCTTTCTTTCTTTCTTTCTTTCTTTATTTTTTAATTTCTTTTCTGTTTAAACTTCTCTGGTTCGGGGGTTGTGTGGGGCTGCTGCCATGAGGCTGAGAGCTGCAGGGTGCTGAGGGCTCCTGCCGTGATTCCTTAGTGGATCCTGCGCTGATGCTGCCGGGGCCGGGCAGCAAGGAGGTGCCGAGTGTTGCTGCAGGGAAGACCCTGCACAGGCACCTCCTGCTGCACTCTCAGTTCCAACATCAGCTCTGAGCCGCTGCAAAGCCACATGTCGGAACGGAAATTAAAGGCCCCTTGATTCTGACATGATAGAGCGATTAAAGCCACATTTCTTGGCCTGGATACCTCACTGGAAATGCAGATATAAGGCTTAGATCCCCAAGGGGATTCAGATTTCTAATCCCAATTTATGCAGCTAAATTCCTATTGATTTCCCTCAGGTAGGGCCCTAAATGCCTTTGTGGGCTGCGATCCAAAGTGGAGGTGTTGTGGCTTAGGGGGGAGCCTGAGCTCCCCACTCGGGGTGGGGGGCGTTCTGCTGCCCCCCTCCAGGGGCTCTGCTCTCTGGGGGCTCTGCAGGTCGGGCTCTGGCTGCCCACAGCTCCTGTTGTCACTGGGTGCAACCAGACTGAGTCACTAAGTGAAGGTGCAGCCCCAGATACCAAATCCTACTCTGATTCCTTGAGCAGAGTGAGCAGGACTGAGAAAACAGGAGTGGGGTGTGCCTGGGCTCCCAGACACCCCCAGAGTGGCTCAGGGCAGAGCAGCAGGGCTGCTGTGGTTTGCTGTAAGGCAAGGGGAGGCTGTGGAGAGCAGCTTTTGGGTTCCTGCCCTTTTCTTTCCCTCCCCAGTTACTGGTCAGAGCTCCTGTGTGCTTGAGCTGCCCCTTGCTTCCATCCCAAAGAATTATTTTAGCATCTCCTCCGTCAGTGCTGGGATGACTGCTGGAGTCGTTTGGAGCTCCAGCCCTGCCGGCTCGGGCCTGTGCTGAGCACAGGTTCTGAGGGAGGAGGGGAGCTCTGCTGGAGCCCTCTCCTTTCCCAGGGAGCAGGGCGCAGGTTCCGCAGCCTCTGGCTCACGGTGACCTGGGGGATCACTGCTGTAATTGAATTTGTGCAGGACTCCACCGGGAAGCTTTGTCTCAGAGCTGGCGGCTTTAATGTAAAGAAGCTTTAATGAAATAGCAAAGCTAAGGCAGAGAATCCTTCCCAGGTTATTCATTTCAGCAGTGGCATCGCTTTTCCTGTGCTTTGCTGCGCCCTTGTCTGGCCGCTGAGTGGACTGGGGGCTGTTATCACTCAAGTGGCTCTGGTATCACTAATTGGCTCTTCTCCTCTCACCTGGCCATGACCCAGCTGCCCTGCACGATGCCCTTTGCAATTACCATGTGCAAATGAGTGCCCTTCATCCCTGGCCAGCTGCAGGACAGCTGGTGTCCCCAGCAGGGTGGCCTTGGCTGTTCCTGCAGCATGGACAGGAGCTGGAGCGGGGAGCCACATCCCTTCCAGGCCGTGGAGCTGGGATGAGTTGGGGCTGGGCTGTTCCAGACAGGGATTCCAGGGCCCTGCATCTGCCCCCAGAGGGTCTGTGCCCAGCCCTGGTGCCCAGCAAGCCCCTGGCACTGGGTGCTGCTTAAGCAAGTGCCCGTGGTCTGTCCTTGCAGGGAGCAGCGTCCCCAGGAGCTGGCCGGGGCTGTCCCAGCAGCTGAGGGGTCTGTGACCAGCCTGCCGAGGCAGAGGCACCTGCTGGGCACCAGAGCAGCTTGGGGAGCCCTTGGCACAGCACGGGAGTGGGGGGCACCGAGGGCAGCCCTGCCCTGCCCCGGCACGGCCCCCACGGCACTGAGCCGTGCCACAGCCACAGGGCAGGGAGAGCAGGAGGAGTCATTTCCACTCTTACCCATTTGTTTTGGTGCTCTGCATAGCCAAACCTTCCCCTGGGACCCCCCTGCCACCCCGCAATGGAGGCACAAAACCTTTCCTGCGGGATGGCACCTTGGGAGCGCCGGGCAGGAGCATCCCAGCCCTGCCTGCATTGGGTCCTGTCACCCAGCGCGTCCCGAAGCTGCTGCCCCGAGCCGCGCTGGGAGCTCGCTGCTCTGCTGCGGGAGCATCCCAGAGCATCCCGGAGCATCCCGGAGCTCCCGAGCAGGCAGCGCCGCCGGATAACGGCCATTAACCTCTCCCTTGGAACAAGAAGGTGCAAATGAGCCCACAGCAGCCTCCTTTCTTCTGCCTGAGCAAGATTGATTGAAAAACAAATTGGCGCAAATAAAGCATGTAATTAGATTAAAGCCTCTCGCCTGGAGCGGCTGGAAAGCGGCAGCGAGGGATTCCCGGGAGCCTGCAGCCCCTTCCCACCTCCCGCAGCCCCTTCCCACCTCCCGCAGCCCCTTCCCACCCTTCCCACCTCCTGCAGCCCAATCCCAGCTCCCGCAGCCCGTCCCAGCTCCCGCAGCCCCAGGATGTGACCAGGCTGTCCCCAGCACATCCCGGCCACGTCCTTGCGGGCCCCTCGTGCTCGGTGCCGGCAGCTGGCCCCGGGCACGGCTGGGGCACCTTTGCCCATCCTGGCAGCTCCGGGCACGGTCAGCACCGCAGCCGCCCCCGCCCCAGCGCCGCTGCAGCCCGGGGCGAGCTCCCTCCCTGCCTCCGGGGCTGCCTGGGCCGCTTGGGGCTGGGGATGAACGGCCTGAGGGGTTTTTGGTGGCTCAGCACAGGCGTGGCAGCAGCATCCCAATTTTCCCGGGTTAAAGGGCGCAGGGGGTGGCTGCTGGTGGCACAGCGGGGATGGGCCAGCCGTGCCAGACACCCACTGGAAACCAACCAGTCAACTGGAAAACAGCTCACTGGAAAACTCCACACTGGAAAACACGGAGTTTTACAGCTCTTCCACACCACCTCTACCCCTCCTCAGCCCTCGCCCAGGGCTGGCTGCACATTTCCTATCCCTTCCCACAGGATTTATCCGCTGCTGAGCCCCAGGACACGCTGGGGACGTGGGGTACAGATCCAGGGGTGCCCTGCCAAGAACCACTGCCAACACCGGGAAATACATTCCTAGGAAAACATCTGTCCTCGGAAGCCGAGCACCCCATAAATTCCTGCCTGACAGCAGGTCCCAGCCTAGGGGAAAATCAGAGTTTTCTGCTCGGGGAGAGATGCAGAAACACGGAGCTGCTGCTGGGGACAAGAGCTTTGTGTCTCCAGGGCATCAGCTCTGGAAATGTCCCAGGGTGGGAGAGGGAGCTCGTCCTGACTCTGGAGCTCGAGGCTTGGCTATGGTGGGATGTGGGGATAAAGGGTTGCAGGGATTAAGGGATATGGGGATGAAAGAATAAGGGGGTGGAGGAGTGGAGGGGTTTGGGGCGGCGGGGATTTGGTGCAGGGGTGTGGGGTTGGAGGGATGCAGGGATTTGGGGTGGAGGGATTCAGGGATTTGGGGTGGAGGGATGGATGTGGGGCTGCAGGGAGCCCAGCACTGGGATGATGAGAGCAGGGTGCATGAAGCTGATCTGCATTTCAGCAGATTTGGGGGCTTGGTTTTGGTTTTTCCTTCAGCCTTTCTGAGCTGTTGTGAAGCACCAGGAGCTCCCTCACTGGAAGCCCGTCCCCTGTTGTGCTCCCAGCCATTCACTGGGGTGAGAAACCTTTCCGAGGGAGCTCCAGCTGCTGATCGATCAATCAGTCAATCAATCACGCAGCCAATCCATCACCTCGCTTACAGCGGTGACAAGGCCGAGAAAGCCCGGGCAGGGCTGAATGAATTCCTGCTCTGGATGGGCACAAAGCTGGAGACTCCCAGGCTGAGCCCAGCCTTACCCCGGGGTGAATGAAATGAGGATTTCCCCTCCCGCCGGCGCTTTGTTCCCAGGCTCGGGGATGCTCCCGGCTCTCCGCCGGGCTGACGCTTCCCCAGAGCCACGGGCTCGGCTTTTCTCCCTGGCAGCGCCGAAACAGGAGCTCCAGCCCTTCAGGGGGGCAGTTTTCCCCGTTCCTGGCTCTTGGGGGAGGATTCAGGCTGAAATTCAGATAGCACAGCATGCAGCCAGCTCTGCCGGGTCTGCTCTGCCCTCTGGGAAAGCTGCCCCAGGTCTGGGAGCCCAGGCATCCCTCAGAGCTGGCTTTTCCCTTCCCTGCATTTACATCCAGCTTCTTCCCCACCAGCCAGGAACAAAAGGGCCCAAAATGACATTTGGAAGGGCCAGATCCGGTTTTGAAATGGCAGAGGTTGATTTCTAGGGGAAAACCATGGGGAGCTGCATCAATCCAATCACCTGGTTTTATTTAAGGCCCCTGGCTGAAATCATCCACCTCAGATAATCATTCTCCAGGAAATCTGGATTTGATTCAGATAAGACAAGAACTGACTGGCAGGTTTATAAACCTTCGTCCCCCCCACCACTATTTTTGTTTGCCCTTTCACTGTGGTCTCTCCTGTCTGAGAGGGACCAAAAAAGAACCAGAAAATCTCTTCCTGCCTGGCAGCAAAAATGAGGAGCAGCCCCTCCTCTTCCTCCAATCTCCCAGCATGGGACAGCATGGATGCATTTCATCTAAACAATCCAGTTTTGGCCTGTTTTCCCAAACTGATTGGGACCCCTGAGAGTAAAGCAGAGCCAGGCAGGACCCCCACAGCAGAGCTGACATTGTCCCACCCCTCGTTCCAAGGCCAGCTTTGGCCCGTGGGCCTCTGCAATGGCTCACGCTGGGGTGATGCTCCCTCAGCTCTTGGCCACTTTCTGTCCCTCGTGGCCACGAGCACAGGAAATGCAGCAGCACCTCTCCCACAGCTGCCTGCACTCAAAGGCTCCCACTAATTGCTTTTCCCATCTTGTTCCCAAACCCTTTTTCTCCCATAGCATGGGAGCCCTGGCTCGCAGACACTGATTTTGGGATTTGTGGAAAACCCCACAGGTTTCAGCAGGGTGGGGTGGGAGCTGAGAGAAGCCAAGACACAGCACTGCTCGATGCTCCCTGCGGGGAAAAGGGATGAAATATGCAGGGTTCAAGCTCCTTGGACAAAGCAGTGCTTTAACACTCCAGTAAAATTCCAGTGAGAAGAATTATGATGGGATTCTGGGCCTGATGGGGCGCTCAGCTTGGCTCAGCCTTCACTGGGCTGTCACTGGGAGGTGGCACAGGAGGCTCCTGGTGGGATGCCCTGGTCCTCCCTCTGGGCATGGGGACATCTCCAGGGACACAGGGATCCACAAGGCACTGTGGATTTCCCATCCCTCGCAGAGCATCCCCTGCTCCAGCCTGTAGCCAGGGCTCCTGAGCTGAGGAAGGCTCTGACCCTGCTGGGATGTTCTCAGTTGCTGGCTTTATGCAGACTCAGCTGGGCAGGATCCCTGAGCAGCCCCACTCCTGTGGCAGGCTGCAGCTGTGTGGGCATGGGGTGAAGCCTGTCCCTCCATCGGTCCCACAGCAGCCCTGGGATCAGCCTTCCTGGGACACTGGGGACTGGTGCTCCTGAGCCCGGGTGACAATCCCTGCACAGCACTCGGCTCAGGGATCGGTCCAAGGTGGCATCTGTCACTTTTAGTGCAAACTCCTTAACTTAGGAACCCTCCTGGCACTGAGATAAAAGCAAACAGCTTTTACACCTCATGTCCTTCACAGCTGGGGCTGGAGCAGCCCGGGGACCTCACACGGGATGCCCCAAGGGAAGAACACGGGATGCTCCAGGGGAAGAACA